TGCTTCCATAGGTGTGTGTCAAGTTCATCAAATTGTGTCAGATTATTCTTTTTTCCCTCTTCTTTCTTCTTCTGTTTGAGCTCTGATCATCCAATCGTTAAAGCCAGGTCAAGTGGGTATTATCTGCAAGTGTGGGTGTACTTATGTATATGCCCTCTCTTCTTATCAGCTGGATGCTTCACTCTTCACTCTAGTCCTCTGTGGCTATGTCACTGACTCTGGGTCCAAGAGTCCCCTGGACTTGGCACCCTACTGGCCAGGTCTCCATCTGGGTTCACAGGAGTCTGTTGCACGTTGTAAGGGCCTAGTTCGTAGCTTCATTGCTGTTTTTCCCTCACTTCCCCTTGTCAGTGACAAAAGTCAGAGCATGCTTTCCCATTGAGCCTTAGTCTTAGAAGGGGGTTTGCCTTGAGGGGGACCCAACAACAATAGTAATCTTATTTGTGAATGGGTATTCAAATTTTTTTCCATATTTATTAGTTGTGCCCAAATAGGTTATACCAATTCGTACTCCCAAAAATGGTGGTGGTAGTAGCTATATGCAGTGGAGTCAGAACTGACTCATAGCCATCCTGTGTTGGGTTTCTATAAATTTATAGAGACTATAAATCTCTATGGGAGCAGAAAGCCTTATCTTTCTCCTGAGGAACTGCTGGTAGTTTTGAACTGCTGACCTTGAGGTTAGCAGCCTGACTCATAACTAGTATGCTACCAGAGCTCCTTACTCCACAAAATTGTTGTTGTTGGTAGGTACCATCGAGTCACTACCGACTCATAGTGACCCTGTGTACAACAGAATGAAACACTGCCCAGTCCTGGGCCAACCTCACAATTGTTTCTATGCCTGAGCCCATTGCTTCTGCCACTGTGCCAAGCCATCTCATTGGGGGTCTTCCTTTTCTTCTCTGATCCTCTACTTTACCAAACATGATATCCTTCTCCATTGACTGGTCCCTCCTGACAACAAGTTCAGAGTTTGAGAGATAAAGTCTGGCCACCCTGGCTTCCAGGGAGCACTCTAGCTGTATTTCTTCCAATACAGATCTGTTTTGTTTTTTTTCTTTTGGCAGTACATGGTACTTTCCAATATTCTCCTCCAACACCATAACTCAGATGCATCAATTCTTTTGCGATGTGACTTATTCACTGTCCAGCTTTCACATGCATATGAGGTTATTGAAAATACCATGGCTTGGGTCAAGTATCCCTTAGTCCTCAAACTGACATCTTTGCTTTTCAACACTTTAAAGAGGTCTTGTGCAGAAGATTTGTCCAATGCAATGTGTCGTTTGATTTCTTGACTGCTGATTCCATGAGTGTTGATGGTTGGTCTGAGCAAAATGAAATCTTTGACAACTTCATTATTTTCTCTATTGATATGATTGTTGTCTATTGGTTCCAGTTGTGAAGATTTTTGTTTTCTTTACATTGAGGTGCAAGCCATAATAAAGGCTCTTTGATC